GACAGGTCTGTAGTTAGACCATCAGTAGTGACAGGTCTGTAGAGACCATCAGTCCTGATACTTTATATAGAGAACATCAGTCCTGATACTTTATACAGAGACCATCAGTCCTGATACTTTATAAAGAGAACATCAGTCCTGATACTTTATATAGAGACCATCAGTCCTGATACTTTATATAGAGACCATCAGTCCTGATACTTTATATAGAGACCATCAGTCCTGATACTTTATACAGAGACCATCAGTCCTGATACTTTATATAGAGAACATCAGTCCTGATACTTTATATAGAGAACATCAGTCCTGATACTTTATATAGAGACCATCAGTCCTGATACTTTATATAGAGACCATCAGTCCTGATACTTTATATAGAGACCATCAGTCCTGATACTTTATATAGAGAACATCAGTCCTGATACTTTATATAGAGACCATCAGTCCTGATACTTTATACAGAGACCATCAGTCCTGATACTTTATATAGAGACCATCAGTCCTGATACTTTATAAAGAGAACATCAGTCCTGATACTTTATATAGAGACCATCAGTCCTGATACTTTATATAGAGACCATCAGTCCTGATACTTTATATAGAGACCATCAGTCCTGATACTTTATATAGAGACCATCAGTCCTGATACTTTATATAGAGAACATCAGTCCTGATACTTTATATAGAGAACATCAGTCCTGATACTTTATATAGAGAACATCAGTAATGACCGCATGACTCTAGACAACATCAGTCCTGACATGACACCACGCGACGTGTCTCGGGAAGGGTAAGTGATAACATTGGTTGTGTCGGGTGAGAACATCAAAGGAGGGGGGGGGGGGCAGAAAAGCAGGAGAGGGCGGTACGAGCAACGCGTCTTTAAGATAGAAATTAAGCAGTGCGAAAGAAAAATGGTTGTGCCATACAAAGGTCAGACCTATCGAAATCTAAAAACTATTTTTGTTGAAGTTGTATTTAAGTAAAGAGGGACTTTGGACAAGATACTTCTGAAGCGACGCTACGTTAAAGTAAGAAAACATGAATAAAGGTCAGTACTGCACAGTAGGAATGATCTCGTCATCAACCAAAAAGATTCAGTACAGTTAATATTCTAACAGAGCTGGAGACGTAACGCTCCAGACTAAACTACCAGCCCATTAGTACAACAGGAGAACGTTTTATCCACGAGATATCAAGCAGCTGTGAACAAAAGACTGTTGTCAGAACAAAGCATGTATACACTGCACTGTTGTCCCTTCACGGCAATACCACTGACAGTGATAAAATAAGGGTGGGTGGTTGGCGGGTGCTCTGGTGTGGTCTGCTCCTTCTTTCCTATCAAACATCTATCGTCCTGAACTCCCCTCCTTCTTTTTTGTGTTTGTTACTCTCTTGTAACACCGGTAATCTTCGGCACTTATATGACCTTATTGTGTTGCAAGTGCCGTAAAACACTTACTATAACTAAGATAAGGATTATAATAATAATAAATAGCATTTGAATAGCGCCTACCCCCGCTCAACAACAAGCTCTATGCGCTTTACAGTATATTATTACCCCAGCAGACCATAGAACACTCAGAAACATTCTCAGCTTCCCGCGAAGCATAAAGTGCAAGCAGCTGATTAAGTGCTCAAACACTAACACGCTGACAAGATCTTTTGCTGTCTATAGCGGGGTACCCATTCCCACCTGGGAGAAGTGAGGAAAATTCGTGTAAAGTGCCTTTCCCAAGGACACAACCTCGGGCCCAAACGGGATTCGAACCCACGACCTTACGGTTGTGAGTCTGATAGCATAACCACTAGGCCACCGAAGCCACAATGATACACTGCAATACGAGGCAGAGCAACAAATGTAAGACTATCTTTCTGTTTTTCAGATAGCTAACCTGACATCAAGAAAAACTAACCAACTTTTTACGACAGACACAGCGTTTTATTCTTAAAGTAAAAGTTCAGCAGCCAAGAGTATTAGAAAAAGTTGCTTGTGTATTTCTACGTCAATTGCTTGAAATCCTTCCGAAGAAAAACATCAGGAAGCAATTATAACATTTCTTATTTTAAGAAAAGATGGATTTGCTTCCCCCATTAGCCCCTTGCTTACACACACATTTTGTCCCCACAAGAAGTAACCTTTGAGCTCTCTTACCAAAAACCTAAAACCTGCTCATCCCCTTCAAAACAAGGAGCATAGACAGTGTCAAGTCTGAAGAATATCCAAATGTTTGACGCTATCAAACTATCAAAGCGGGCTTCTTTGAGTAGTGGTCTGTAGTCTAATTTTGAGCTGTGCCAAGACTTATTTTGTTCACAAATTATACCCATTTCCTTTAAAGTGTAGTCGAAAACGATAAAAGCAAAATTGCCCTGTGGTATTGCCGTTCACTGAAAAAGGGAGCATTGCATTGAGAGTACAATTTAGTTAGCTCAAGCAAAAAAACGAGTTTGAGCACTAATTAGGTGAATAACAAAACAAATGGAACGTCAAAGGAAATAAGAAGGAAGTTCTTAAATTTGGCAACTCAAGGAAATAAGGCACAGAAATGCAAATAGAAACAAATGACACAAGATATCTAGGAATCTTGTCAAAACTGCTGGGCCAGATATGCGAAAAGCAGAATGACTTTTAAAAACTATTTTCCTAAAATAATTCGTCGAAGACCAGTGACCCTTGTTTAACACAATGCAACAGCTATTTGTGTGCAGATGTTTGAAAAAAACCCAACCTTTTAGACTCGTATCTTTTAAGGTCAACTCGTACTGAAGAAAATGTTATAAATATATTTTTTTACAACACTATAGGAGATTTTAAAAAAAGAAAATACATTGTACCTGATTGTTCCTCAAGCCACCAGTAAAAACTTCCTTCCAGCTTCCCATCGAAAAAACATTGTCACTTGCATGCACCAGCTAATATAATGCTGAGACTCTGACCTTAGCCATAGGCACTTTGGGCTGTTTCATTACAGTTGAACATCTTCACAGTGTTACCCATTCTTTACTAGGAGGTCTTACATAGCTCTTACAATATCAGAATAACTCTTTATCTCCGAGGGGGGGGGGGTAAACCCACTCCGCTGCGGCCCGTTTTTGGTACAAAATTTTAAAATGACAAATCGTCACTAAGTTGGTTATTAAATTAAAAGAAGTGAATCCATATCGATAGTTCTTCATCCAATGAATGAAATCCTGATAAAAGAGATCTGTTTTCGGAAACTGCAGAAAAGTAATTTGATGTCGAAGTCATCGTGAAGGAATGTGCCCGAGCCTGAAGAGAATTAGTAGTAAGTACTATGGAATCATAAGCCCAGGAATGAGTATCCCTTTTAAGTCGTGAAAGAGGTGATCAAATTTGTACCAAGAGAGACAGAGCCTTAGAAAGTAGAAATGGAGTGAGTCTTTGTTTGAAAATGTACAAGACCCCGATCGCAACAACTTCAGTCATTTACAAGGGTGGCTGCTCAATAGACCCTGCCTGTCACAGATAATCTCTGAGCTGCAAGGGATAGGACACACTCATAGAGAGAGAGGGAGAAATTAGATGACAATCTTCTATACCCTATACGGAAATCATACACAGATCTTTCATGAGTGTATAAGGCTGAGAACCTTACTGCTGCATCAAAGTAATGACCAGCTCGTTTTTGGTTATAGTCTTGTCTGCACTATCAGATTTATGATGCTGTTTGCACTATCAAATTTATAATCTTGTCTGCACTATCAAGTCTATAATCTTGTCTGCACTATCAAGTCTATAATCTTGTCTGCACTATCAAGTCTATAATCTTGTCTGCACTATCAAGTCTATAATCTTGTCTGCACTATCAAGTTTGTCTATAATCTTGTCTGCACTATCAAGTTTGTCTATAATCTTGTCTGCACTATCAAGTCTATAATCTTGTCTACACTATCAAGTCTATAATCTTGTCTGCACTATCAGGTTTATGATGTTGTCTGCACTACCAAGTTTCTGAGGTATTGAAGAAATATGCATGCAGGGCCCGAGTCAAAGACAACAGTCAGTGACAGATAACAGCCAGTCAGTGAGGGTTGCTCACAGAGTTCTGTGCCAGCAGATGATCAAGTGTTAGTTTATAAAACAACGAGAGAAGGTGAGTGCATGGACGTGCTTACTGAGGCTCTCTTTCACAGAACTGGGTGAGTAAAAAAACACAAAAACACAAAGAAAAACCCTGCATTTGGGTCAGATTATTTTTAAACCGATAAACACAATTATTAATAGACAGTTGATATTTAGTTATAGTTTATGGGAAGTCAGCTCAAGGTCAGTCACATTTCGCAGCAAAGGATAAGGATGATAGTAATTCTGAAAAGATGCGGCAGAATTGAGGCAAAGATTTCTTATCTCGCGTCTGCTACTCAGCAAATCAAAGAAGTAAAATAAACAATTCCATCAGACGCTAAGTATTTCAGGGTTAGGACAATATACATTTTAGTCAGAGCTTTTTTTGCACAAAAACCTGGCAGTAACTTTGATGAATGTGTTAGTTGTAAACAAAAACTCCATTTACAGATGCAACTTTTACCCAATTCACCAAACTGAGTTTTGCTGGGTTGAGATAATACGTTTTGTTAATAGCTATTCTATTTTCAGTTTAGCCAGAAAAAATAAAAGTATAATTTGGGTTAGATGTTATGATGTTTACTTCACTGTAACTAATTTTGAGTACAAGCAACAGAAAATAGTTACAAGATTTTACTAAAAAAGAATGTAACAATTATCAGGTTTTTCATTTCCTTTAAAAAAGTTGTAAGTTGTAAAAATTAAGACGTTACAAAAAAGCCTAGCTGCAGTTCTAAATCACATGATAAAGAAAAAGGTGTTTGACAAATAAAAATCCAGGGAGGGGGAGAGGGGGGGCATTTACAAAGTAAAAAAAAAGAGAAATTTTGTGGAAACAAAACTGCAACGGTGAACAGTTGAACAGTTTCAAAAATCCCGGGCGCATGCAAAGTGCCAGTTTCTCCACTACCTTTGACGGTACCGTCCTCATTAAATTGCAAATCACCAAAAACGGCTTTCATCTCCACCCGGGCCCTGTCGGGATCAGAGCTGCCGTGAACGGCGTTGTTGAGGATGTCTTGGCCAAACTGTGCACGCAGGCTGCGGGAGGAGAAAGAAAGAAAAACATCCGACGTTTTTTAATTTGAGTAGACTGCAACTGCATAAGGTCATAGGAGCGCCAAGGGGTGGATGTCAACAGAGAAGTCCATACATGGAATCAGACTTACTCTGCTCACCTCTCTAGCTTCAACAGCACAAAAGTCTGCTTCGACTATCAAGGCACCCCGGAAAGAGCGGGTCACAAGAGTGTGACAAACATACAAAAGAAGTAGAGGAAAATGACGATAGTAAGGATTAGGAAAGAAAAAATGCAGCAGTTCCCTGTTGCAGTTCAGGCACAGTTATGAGCATGACATTGATACATATTAATTGACATCCTTATGATTTCTTTGAATTGATAACAGCAGCTCGAGACCTCAGTGCTTTCTGGTCCAATTTCCATTTTTTTAAACATTGAGAATCTGACTTCTTCTTAACTCTTTAAACCCTGAGTTTTTTCACCATTACCCCGCAGTTTTTTCTACAGTCACCAAAACCTGGTGCACTATGTATCACAATCCCAAAAGCTTGCCTCCAACTTTTAAATGGCGGAAACAAATGCTTAGACATTACTAAAAAATTTGGTTCGGGAATAGTTTTGAAAAGCGAGCAAAAACTAGCTCTAAAAGAAACAAAACAGTTGTCGTTAGTATCAGATGCTCAGGGTCCGATGGGGAACACGGTTATTACTGCCGGACTTTTCCAGTGTCAGATGGGGTTTAAAGAGTTCAGCTCAGTCTTTGTTATGAACTGTTTTCCCTGTTATTAAAAATGGAGATAGGACAGGAAAGCACCGAGGTCACGCACTAGAAGTACCTCAGTGGAGGTCTGCAAAGTCTTCTTAAAATGGGTCTTTTCATTTTCTCCTTCCATTTCTTCTGTAACTCGTGAGAAGACAGATCCAAGAACACTTTTAATAAAAAGCAAAGGGAATTGACTGAGACCCAAGGACATACCTGTCTGGTTCTTTGGTTTTGGCTTCCTCGGGATTCGTCTCACCAATCATACGCCGCCAACCATCGACGGCATCTTCTCGAGACAAGACCATAAACATGGTCTCACCACTGGGGAGAGCAGAAAGGATGACATCAGTATAACGGAGATGCAGATACACTGGTCTCGTTCTCAGGGAGGGACATGCAGATACACTGTTCTTGTTCTTAGGGAGGGACATGCAGATACTCTGTTCTAGTTCTCAGGGAGGGACATGCAGATACACTGTTCTTGGTATTAGGGAAGACATTTCGCAGCACTCTTGCGTTCACAAAGCGACGTATATATATATATATATATGTGAATCATTGTGAAATGTACTGACAAAATGAGTTACTTCTTGGATTAAAGCCCTATGGAAATAGATATGTCACGCTTATAGGTGAAGTTTTTACAATTTATAAATATGAAATAAAAAAAAGCCATATGTTATACTTAAAGAACTGGCATTAATAGAAAATCCACAAATTTGATTGTAGTGTTGATCTTTGGCCAATATCGCCATTTGTGGATTGCGAGAAGTAACTCATTTTGTCAACACACCTCACATATCGTTATTGATTGAGTTGTATTAAAACATGTATGAGTGTGTCTGCTTATCAGGAAACTGTTTGTTCGTGGCCTATATCCTGATCCAGGGTGAGAAAGGCAATGATGATGATGGTGACATGGGAAAAAAGACTATGATGATGATGACGATGATGATGATGATCTGAAATTATGTAGCCGTTCCAGCATGGGTCACCTTGTCATGGAGTTGACCAGGTCATCGTAGTAGTCCTTGTCCTGTTGGTTGGCGTACATGATGTCCACCACGTCTTTGGTGATGGTCGTCTCTTTGTGAGCCGCTATCCTGAAGCCCGCCTCGTGGATCTTCTCAATGATTGCATCTAGGAGAAACAAACAAATCAGTTGTTAGTTTTAGTGAGGTTTTACGGCATTTGCAACCGCATAAGGTCATATGAGCGCCAAGGGGTGTTAGTTTTAGTAAGGTTTTACGGCGCTCGCAACTGCATAAGGTCATATGAGCGCCAATGGGTGGATGTCAACAGAGAAGTCCTTACAGGGAATCAGACTTACTTTGCTCACCTCTCTAGCTTCAACAGCACAAAGTCTGCTTCGACTATCAAGCCACCCCGGAAATAGCAGTTCACAAACACCAATTTATATTGAACAGAAGTCGACATATTTGCGATTGAAGGCGTTGGGACCGCCTGTTTCAGAGCTTAAATTAACGAGAAAATGGCTCCCAAAGTTTGGTGATTTCTGAAGTTTGAGAGTTCTTGAAAACTGAAAATTACAATTTTGCGCATTTAATCAATTTTTTTCAGTCAAATTCACATGGAAATATGTTTTTATATGAACCTAAAGCGTGTTAAGCCAAAAACCCAAAATTCAATAAAAATTAACAAACTGGCGAAAAAATACCTGTCTCTTCAATTTAATTATTTTGAGGAGTGCCTGATTTCAACATGTCGAGACACATATTCTAGAATGGCTCATAAAAATACTTCGCAACCAACGAGAGTACAAACTCTAAATTTTCACTTAGCAGGGGCAAAAAACATCTATAGCAAATGTATACCAAAGCCAAAGGCGGGGCTGACCTTTGGTTCCCATGCCGCTAGGTTTGATCACAGCGACTGTCTCTTGCATCGGGAAGAAGAAATCGAGCTCTTTCTTGGCCTGGGTCTCGCTGTCCGAACCGTGGAACTGGTTCACGCCGCTTTGGCCGATAAATTTGGCCCGCAAACTGAGGGAAGCACAAAATCATATTATAACTAGATCTATATATTGGAGCAACTGTAAGCTCAACACATTTTCATATCTGACTGAAACAAAAAAAAGTTTAAAAGTAAAAGCATAAAGTATCAAAACTCAAAAGTAATCATTTTCAAAAGCGTCGCGACACATTTGAGGTCAAGTTCCTGGTAAAGGAACGTACCCGCGCCCCTGTAAGTGGCTCACTGGCACAGCAGTTCCGACCGTGAGCCGCTGGGAGCAGCTTGCCAGCAAATTCACCACCTCGAGTGCTTTCTTGTCATATCTCCACTTTTAATAACAGTGAAAACAGTTCATTACAAAGGGTGAGCTTAAGAAGAAGTCACATTTTCACTGTTGAAAAAAAAGGAGATACAACAAGAAAGCACTGAAGTCATGAGATAAGGAGTTAAGTTCCCTTCCCTTACACAGAAAAAGAGCAAAGAGTTACCTCTCTGGAGCCTGTTCTTGAGCTTCGTCGATGTCGGGCGGCCCCAGCATCTCTCTCCAGGCGTCGATAGCTTCGTCACGAGCCAGCCCCAAGGCCAACAGCGGGCCGCTGGAAGGATACGAGACGAGATAACAAACAGGGTCATAATGTGATAACATCATCCCTTAGCAAGATGACATAAAATCCACTTAAAAAAATTATTGCAAGAAGCAAGAAGGCCACTGGAATGATACAAAACATTATAAGAAACAATGTTACATATGGTCGCTTTTAAGCACAAGGGGGCTATCCCAAAAAATGATGTTTTGAGAAAATAGAAACTAAACTTTTTGCCCTTTGTTTAAGTTTCTTTAAAATACAAGCAGCGTTTTCTCTATAACCAAACAAATATACACAGCAATGAAACCAAACTTCTCCTATAGGTAGGGCAATGCCCACTTTTAGTGTAGGTCAAGATTTCTGGAAACCCTCGAAATCTGGGTTAGCCCGCTTGTCCTTAAAAGCGACCGTTTAAGAGGTAGGAGCTCCAAACTGAACATCCATCTCCCTTAGGGGTCAGCTAAATGGGAACTCTCATACAATGATAGACGGAGCCCAGTCCCAAACCCCCGAACCCCCAATCTCACAATGACCAGTCCCGTAGTCTCACCAATAAATCACCAAGGCCACAACATGTTTTCTTGCCACCATTCTCCGACAGGAGAGAAGACAAAACGTTACGCAGAAAAACCAACATACATCCTTATTATAGTTCGTTTGAGTTCAGTTTAGTTTTAGTAGAGTTTTATGGCACTTGCAACACAATAAGGTCACAATATATGTGCCGAAGATTAGAGGTGTTACAAGAGAGTAACAAACACAAAATACAAGGAGGTGAGATAGAGAAGATAAGATCTTTTATAGGAAGGAGCAAACCAAACCAGAGCACCCACCAACTACCCACTTATTATAGTTTACAACAAACAAAGCAAAAACGAGAACACAAAAGCCATGAGAAAGACAGAAATGTATTATCTAATCTAGCTACAGCTTGTTCACTTTTGTCTGACCGCGTAAAAAAAAATCTAGCTCATCGAGGAATTCACCTACGCCCACGAAATTTTGCATGACCTTCCTGCAGGCCAGCGACCAGACAAACATTATGTTTTCCAAAAAATCTTGATCCATTAATAAAAAAGTTCTTCTCTTTGGGCACTATATTAAAAACCACTCTTTGGATGCATACACAGGATCACTAAAATAAATGACTTACAGTAACCTTGCCTACAAATTGCTCATTTTGAGAAAGCGACACCACCCTGCCCCCACATTTCAGAGTAAGCGTGTAAATTTCATCCCCTGGCTGTCTAAACGTCTCCACGTGCTCCACGTGAGTCTCGAAAAATACTCTTAAATCGAGTTTCTTAGGCAAACGTTAAAGAGTGGTGTTGAGGAAAATATGTCAACTTTTAAACGTTTTCGGCATACGCTGTAAATCCCCTTTTTTTTTCCGAGCCGCTTTAGGTTTACATCAAAGAACACAGGTCGGAACCCTAGATTGCAGTGACTTTTATGAATGGGCTTTTCGCGTCTGTTGGTCGTTTAACTTTTAAACCCGCATGCAAGGCCCAGAAAGATTAAACAGAGTGATTTGTTTTTATCGGAATTTCAAATATCGAGCCGCAGTAAACGACACATTCCCCAAAAAACCAAGAACAGACAGATATAGAAATTCATTCGTACCAACTGCAGTGAGGTTACTGAACACACAGTGCTACAAATGAGAGAGAGAGAGAGAGAGAGGGAGGGAGGGAGGGAGGGAGGGAAGGAGGGAGGGAGGGAGGGAGGGAGGGAGGGAGAGAGGGAGAGAGAGAGAGAGAGAGAGAGAGAGAGAGAGGGGGAGAGAGAGGGAGAGAGAGAGAGAGAGAGAGAGAGAGAGAGAGAGAGAGAGAGAGAGAGGGAGAGAGAGAGAGAGACAGAGAAAGAGAGAGAGAGAGAGAGAGAGAGAGAGAGAGAGAGAGAAAGAGAGAGAGAGAGAGAGAGAGAGAAGGAGAAAGCTTTTACGTAGCGGGTTGTCCCAGCACGTGAGACATGTATTCACTAATGTCCTGTCTTGTTGTGCGTGTTCGTGAGTGCACCTAACTTTTGTAACGTCTACTGCTATTGTTAATGATCAAGACAAATTTCTCTCTGCGAGATGAATAAAGATTGTCATTGTGATTAACATTGTCATTGTCATTGTCATTGTTTGTCACTGTCACTGTCACTGTCATTGTCACTGTCATAACCGCGGTCAGAGGAAAGTGAAGGAGCTATCGTTTGTTTTAGTCTTAGTAAGTGTTTTACAGCACTTGCAACACAATAAGGTCATATAAATGCCGGAGATTAGAGGTGTTACAAGAGAGTAACAAACACAAAAAAGAAGGGAGGAGAGATCAGGACGATAGACGTTTGACAGGAAAGAAGGAGCAAACCACACCAGAGCACTCGTCAACCAGCCACAGCAGAACACCCGCCAACCATCCACAGCCCTGGTTCACCTGCTCATAGTCTGCACCAGCTGGTCGAAGTAGGCCTGGCCGTCGTGCTCCTTGTAGAACTCCTGGGCCTGTTCCTTGGACAGCTGAATCTCCTTGTGCAGCGCGATGGTGAAGCCCGCCTCCTGGATCTTCTCCAAGATTTCGTCTGTGGGGAATTCAAAGTGGAATTAATTTCTTTAAAAAAAAAGAAAAATAGAAAAAACTACTCTGTTGACATCCGTTCCATGGCGTTCATATGACCTTATGCAGTTGCGAACGCCGTAAAAATTCTACTAAAACTAAACTAAAAAAGAAAAGAAGAATATTTTTTCCCAAATACTAACACTATGATTTGTGAGGTGTGCTCACTCCCTCTCATTCAGAGACTGTATGTGAGGTGTGCTGACAACATGAGTTACTTCTAGGATATTTGCCTTGTAATGGAAATTGATCCATCAACTTAATAGGCGGAGTTTGTACAATTTGTGAACATGGAATAATAAAAGACGAACAAAATGGCAGCAATTGAAAAAATCCTATAAATCTGACCGCGGGGTCAATTTTCGCCCGATAACTCCATTCTTGGATTGCGAGAAATAACTTATTTTGTCAGCACGCCTCACATTTAAAAAGTCTCTATTTCTTTTTCACTAATGTCTTAAACAGTCTAAAATAAAGGCATAAGAGCTGGCTTCTCACTCAGAATGCATTCATCTTCAACATTCTAAAATGCCTCTTTAGTTTTAGTAAGAGTTTTACTGCACTTGCAACACATCATGGTAATATAAGTGCCAAAGACTAGAGGTGTTACAAGAGAGCAACAAAACAAAAAAAGAAGGAGGAGAGATCTGGACGATAGATGTTTGATAGGAAAGAAGGAGCAAAGCACACCAGAGCACCCACCAACCACGCACCAAACACCTCTTTACAAATACTTTGCCACCATTCAACAACCTCTGGCAATATATTATGTGAGGCAGCTTTGTGAAATCAGGCGCTCGTCAAAATACAGAAATCAGAGAAACAGGCATTTTTCTGACAAATTTGGAAAATTTTATTGAATTTTTACTTTCTGGCTCAACCTCTTTTATGCCCATATAAAAACACATTTCCATGTGAATTTCACCCCCCCAAAAATGATTTAAGGCACAAAATATGTTATTTTTTCTTTTTTCAAAGACCTTTTAGCTGTTGGAGTTACCAAACTTTGGCAGCCATTTTCTCATTAATTTCACCACTGAAACCAGGCGATCTCCCCTCCTTAAATCGCAAATACCTTGAGTTCTGTTCAAGATAGATTAAAATTTATTTCATTGGAAGCAAGGCAAATGAACTCACTTTAAGATGATACCAGTAACTCCAGATGTCCCCAAATTGACGAGAGCCTGATTCCACAGCGTCTTGACACATTTCTTTTTCTCTAATGCTTTAATTAGTCTAAAGTCATAAGAACTGGCTTCTCACTCAGACTGCATTCATCTTGAACATTCTAATACGCCTCTTAACAAATTTAATACTTGGCCACCATTCAACAACCTATCTGGCAATAATATGTCACAATCAACGCGATGTGATCCCCGTACCTTTGCTGGCTGAGAATGCTTCCGGTCGGATGAGGGCGAGCGTTCTCTGGATGTTCTCCTTCTTCTTCAGGTACGTGGGTACTGCCAGGTTGGGGAAGAAGAAGGCCATTTCCCTGAAACACACACAACACCAGACTTTCACAACACCAGACTTTCACAACACAAGACTTTTACAAGACTTTTACAACACATGACTTTCCTTATAAAAGTTCTCAAGACTCTTCAAAAGATAAACTTAATTGTGGCAAAGGTATTTCTGCTGCGTTTCCTGTAGTTCAAGCACATCATGTTGGAACAATCATATCTATCTGTGAGGACAGAACAGTTAAACCAACAAAACACAAGTTGGCCTCATTCACAACAAGTCACAGCACAGCTTGTTTTCGGTCAATATTTCGATTAAAGTGTTAAAAATTGTGGTAAAGTCTCGGTTTTAAAACAACACTTTTAATGATTTTTAAAAGAACGACAATTTATTGTAAAGGCCAATGGCCTTCGTAAAATGGAGAATTCTGTTGGGATCGACGACCGAGAACAGATCTGGCAATTACCCTTAATGACCAACCATAAGCTACCAGTATTTTCACACCACGTAAAACTAAGACATTTCCTCAGCACACAAAATGCTACTCACTTGGCCGCTGTTTCGGAGGACGATGAGCCGTGGAGCGCGTTCATGTAGCCCTGTTCACCGTATTTGGCTCGCAAGCTGGGAATAGGGGAAAGTGAAACAAATGAAGGAGGAAAACGTTTTTTTAAAGGCTCTCACTCAAAGTAAGGGAGACAGCAAAGGACGGACGGCTATCATTCGTTTTTGTAAGAGTTATAAGGCACTATAAGTGCCAAAGAATAGATGTGATATAAGAGAGTAACATACACAAAAAAGGAGGAGATATAAGGACAGATAGATGTTTGATAGGAAAGAAGGAGTAAACCACATCGGCCTATCAATGGTAATTTCATAATGATAGTAGAAAAGAGTAAAGGGAAGGTACAAGAAAGCATACTGAATCATTCATGAATTTAAAATATATGGGTAAAAATATGTGAGGCAGCGTGGTAGAATCAGGCTCTCGTCAATTTTTGGGCATGTAGAGTTGTTGGTACCATCTTAAAGCTTGTTCACTGGTCTTTATTTGGATGAAAAAAATATCCATTTATTGTGAATACAAGTCGAGATATTTGCGAATGAAGGAGGTGCGGGTCACCTGTTTTCAGAGGTAAAATTAATGAGAAAATGGTTGCCAAAGATGAGTTATTTCCTTAGCTTAAGAGTCCAGGTCAACTGAAAATTTACATTTTTTAAGCTTTTTTTATCAACGTTTTTCAGAAAAATCCACACAGAAATGAGTTCTTTAATGGGCATGAAAGGTGTTGAGCCAAAAAACAAAAAATTGATAAAAATTCACAAACCTGCGGAAAAATACAAGTTTCTTCACTTTGATCATTTTGACGAGAGCCTGATTCCACCACGCTGCCTCACATATTGTGATGAGCTCAATCAGTCAGTGACTGTCTAGAAGTGTTGTTGCTATGAATGGTGTGGTACAGAGTACATTTCCAACAGGCTTTTGTTTTAAGCTGATTATGTCAGAAACTGTTCCTTGCATTCAAATGAGATGTAGTGGTCTTAGACTTTTGTTCTCCTTAGCATATTTTCATTACTGGTTTGTGACTCTTTTTTAGGTTTAGAAAGTTTTTTTACGGCGCTCGCAACTGCATAAGGTCATGTGAGTGCCAAGGGGTGGATGTCAACAGAGAAGTCCAAACGGGGAATCAGGCTTACTCTGC